GCTGCCCTGGTAAAATATAATTCCACCCTCCGTGCTGCCAAACAGACTTTTTTTTATAACTCTCATTAACACAGTCTCATCCAGACCTCGTCAACTCTTTTTTCTACTTCTAACTCTCTATTCCAAACTCCTTCATCTACAACCGCCTGAGCCGCCACCTCACTGATAACAATCTCATTGATCCCTTTACAGTCCGGCTTTTGCCCCCAACACTCCACTGAAACTGTCCTCCTAAAACTCACTAATGACTTACTAACAGCTAAAACAATGGCCACTATTCCTTATTCTTGCTATTAGACCCTTCTGCTGCTTTTGACACAGTTGACCACCCACCTCTCCTCAAAAAAACTCCACTCACTTAGACTACAAGACTCTGCTCTCTCATGGTTCTCCTCCTACCTATCCAAGCACTCCTTTAGTGTAACCTACAAATCTTCCTCTCCTCTTCCCTTTCTGTTGGGTTCCCCCAAGGTTCTGTCCTTGGACCCCTTCTCTTCTCTATCTACACCTCCTCTCTTGGTCAGTTGATCACCTCACATGGCTTCCAGTACCATCTCTATGCCGATGATACTCCAAATATATCTTTCCACTCCACAGCTACCTCCTCATGTATCACTTGCCCCTCCCTCTTAGATTGTAAGCCCTCAGGGGCAGGGCCCTCCTTACCATCTTGTCTTGAATTGTATTGTAATTATAATGTCTTCCCTATATTGTAAAGTGCTGCGCAAACTGTCGACGCTATATAAATCCTGTATAATAATAATGTGACCCCCTGATTGTCATTGGTGACACAGAGGTGTTCAGAAACCACTAACAAGTTCCTGAGCCCATGTGTTGCATTAATGTTCCTACATTAATGCAACACATTATCTTGCATTTAGGCACGCTGCAGTATATCCTAATGCATGAGAATCAGATGGAATTCTTTTTTTAATATTGAAAGGACCCTCTGAACTCTTTGACGTTTCTGTCTCTGGCTTCCCCATAACGTGCATGTGGTCTGTTGCCATTGCTCCAGGACTCTTAAAGTGTATTTCCATTTTAGCAGTCAAATTTGGAGATGCCCCCACTATATAGTTACATTCACACAGCATACCTAAAAAAAGTTTTTAAATAAAAGCTGTTTCTTACCTTTCTAGATGTTTCTTTGGAGCAGTTTATACATAGTACCACAAGCTATCGGGGACAGTTTCAAAGTGCAATTTAACCACTTGAAGACCAGGGTGTTAAACCCCCTTCCTGGCCAGGCCATTTTTCAGTATTCAGCGCTGCGGTACTTTGACATTTACTCAGTCATGCAACGCTGTACTGAAATTAATTTTATACCATTTTTTTGGGGACAGATAGAGCTTTCTTTTGGTGGTATTTATACACCACTGGGATATTTATTTTTTTACTATATAACATAAAAAGACCCGAAAATTTTGGGGGAAATTTCTGAAGTTGAGGGTTTTTGTCCTACCAGCCCTCTTGCTTTTCCTATGATCAATACTGAAAGTGATTACCCTAAGAAATGTTATGAAACATTTATTATCACCCCATTTTTTTTTGGTAAAATATAAAAGACGTGGTCACGTCGGGTAAATAGACGCCAAACATGCTATAAAATTGCACGTGCCTGCAAAATCGTGAAAAACTACCACACCCAAAATTGACCATAGGCGCCTCTTTAAAAGCTTTTACCGCCTATCAGTTCAGCGTTATCAGTGATTGATGGCCCTAGAATTATTGCTCTCACTCCAACGTTCGCAGCGAGGCACAATGGGCGCAATTACCGTTTTTGCACGTAGGCACACTCGACGCGTGTATGTGGGGTTGGGAGACTTTAAAAATGTTTTTATGTGATATGATTTTATGCTTTTACATTATTTTAAACTTTTTTTTTTTACACTTAACTTTATTGCTAATGGTCTCTGTCTGGTTCAGTAGGAATCACAATCATGGGAAAGACTGCTGACCTGAGAGTTGTGCAGAATACCATCATTGACACCCTACATAAGGAGTGAAAGCCTCAAAAGGTAATTGCAAAAGAAGTTGGATGTTCCCAAAGTGCTGTATCAAAGCACATTAATAGAAAGTTATGTGGAAGGGAAAAGTGTGGAACAAAAAGGTGCACAAGCAGCAGGATGACTGCCTGGTATTACTGACGTGGAAGAATCACACAGCAAAAATGTCAAAAGTGTGTCAGTCATTTACGAACAGAAACTAAAAACAAGCTCAGTCATGAAGGGGTTAAGTTGCATTAGTGAAATAAATGAACTTTTGCACGATATTCTAATTATTAGAGTTTCACCTGTAAGGGGCTAAGAAGCCCCCTATGTGATAGCCAATTTTGGTGGCAGGTCCTCTTTGTGGAGACATCAGGGGTCTCCAGGACCCCTAATGTCACCTAGGGACCCCCAGAGAAGCTGATGAAGCAGAGATCAGTTTCACCAGCTTCCCCCTCCTGGCTTCTGTAGCCGGGAATGATAGCTGATAGCTGAATTAGCTGATAGCTGAATGCAGGATGTGATGTAATATACATCACTTCCTGAATTCTGACACCGGAGAGGAGATCAGAGGGAGATCAGGTACTGAACTCCCTTTGATCACCTATGCCAGATCTGCCGTGCCAGTCCTGCACCAGGCACAGCGGATCATGGGACTGGCGGCGGGGGGGGTTTTCACACCTGCACAAAATACTAGCGACCAGGCGTCTCTACGGATGCCAGAACACTTGTATTTAAAACAGCCATCACCGGCTGTTTACATTTAATGTAGTTTTCCCACTCGTGCACGGAGAGGGACGTCTTAAAACACCCACCTGCATCTGCAAGGCTCCTGTCTGGCCGTTTAGGTACGGCCAAAGGACGGGAGGTGGTTAAGAGGGGCAAACTGAGGGAAAGTGCAGTAACAAACGGTGTACCACCCAAACCCTGAGATCTTTAACCTTTTGCTAGGACAGTCAGGGTAAAAATCTAGTTTACAACTGAAAAATGAGATCTAAGCGCACAGAGAAGGAGAGACTTCAGTTTTGGGGTTTTCAGAAAAGAGCAAGTGAAAAAGGTAAGCAGCAGGCTTTCTTCACTCAAAATGTTTGCACCTAACAGAAAATTGCTCACCTTCTATTAAGAGGAAGTTAAGCGAATTTCTGTTGGGTGTGAGTACTTTCTGATTGAAGAACACATTGGAGCACTTTTGGTTGAAGAAGAAAAAAACTTTTGTATGGCATATTATAGGGATGCACCGATACCGGTTTTTAATTTTTTACATTGTATTATTTATATTTCAGTACTCGCCGATACCGGTACTTCCGGTCGCATAGAGCCGGCTTTCCAGGCAATCAGGAAGTCAGGCAGAGGGTCATTACCTATCGCCCGGCTTCTTGATTTGCCCAGGAAGCCGACTCCATTCTGTTTGGCCGGTTCGATGCTGATTGGCCGGGAAGGCGGCTTCCCAGCCAATCGGCATCGAGGCCGGCCAAACAAATCTGAGAATATGGTGACACGACCCCCACCCTGCAAGCACCTGATTCCCCTCACATAGATCCTTAGCAGCAGTCATTACCGTAACAGTCCCTCGGCCAGCTGGGCAGACACCGCTCTCCAAACTCTCCCGGATCTGCCCACGTTTCCCCTGTGTGTACAGCGCCCACGTGGTCGGCCCCTAGCCTGCTTCTGTGCATGCGCAGACTGCCCATTCTCATTCAGAACTCCTGTGCATGCGCAGTAGCAGGCTGAGGGCTGATCACGTGGGCACTGTGCACACAGGAGATGTGGGCAGATCATGGAGAGCGATGTCTGCCCAGCTGGCCGAGGGACTGTAACGATAATGACTGCTGCTAAGGATCTATGTGAGGGGAATTATTTGTCTGCAGGGTGTGGGTCGTGTCACCATATTATCAGATTTGTTTGGTTGGCCAATCAGCATCAAGCCTACCAAACGGCATGGAGCCAGCTTCCCGGCTCCATGTTCCCTCATGGCACTGCCGGTCAGAGGAAATCTCCTGACCGGAACTTCCAGTATCGGGAAAGGTATTGGAGCATTAAGGCAAGTACGAATACTCGCCCAAATACTCGGTATCGGCACCAATACCGATACTAGCATTAGTATCGGTGCATCCCTAGTATATTATTATCACTATGGTTATTTAGTTGTAGTCTGGACTGAATGTTTGTTCATAGCAGATGCACATTGTTACCCTGTAAGGGACACAGATATGTATTGGTAAATATTGGTAAATTAACTTTTGCAGAAAGCTTTCTTTTCACTTTATGATTGATTGATTAGGTATAGCAGGCACAGAAATATTTTATTTATCTTTTGAAGAATGCTTGTTCTGTGCATTTAAGTGCTTGAAGCTTAGTAGACATTGCATACCAGCACGGGGTATATTTAATTTGGTTGCGTTTGTTTATTCATGAGTTTATTCATCTGGTAGGTCCATGGAGATACTCTCTAGGTTCATAACAACATTTTATCATAACAGATTCTCTCCTTTTACTCCATGTTTTGTTTTTACAGTGGAATGCGCCAGAGCAAAGTGTCTTGGTTCTGGCTTCAATACCTAGTGAGTCACTGACACAGAACGAGCATGCAGCTAGTGAACTGTTACAAAAAGTCTGAACTGCTATCCTGCATAGTTGTCTTTAGTGACTCATTAAGTAATGAAGATTGAATTAGTATGACAAATCCTGCAACTTTAAACACCAAGTCAGCATAAGCAGCTCCCATATTTCTCATGTGCACATGCTTATATACACCCTTTTTGGCACTGCAACACAAAAGTAGTATAATGTTTTTTTGAAGTGTTTAGCCTATACGAAATTAATAGTCCAACGTAACATGTTAAAACACACACAACTAGGTGTAAAGGGACCATAAAAAACAAGTCAATATTGGGAACACCCACAATTCTGTCCTGGCACATTTTTTTTTTTTTTTTTTAACCTTTAAGAAATAGCACTTTCACACAGTGACTCTTGATGATTGTGTCATTAATAAATGTCTTCTTTTTACAGGTTGTGAACCACAGAAGCTGACTACTAAATAATGAAGTACAATTTTCCTGATGGATGTGTAGAAATTGCATCACCAACTACAACATGAAGATGATCTATAGCAAAACGGCTACATTTTCAAATATGCTATAAAAATGGTGCAGCTGTTGCAAGACACATCCATGGATCATGCAAGAATGTTTTGCACATAACATTATGCAGTATCCAAAGTTCAAAAGGAGACTGCTTGTATGATCACTCCTTTTAACAGGAGTGTCTTGTGTTGCAAAAGCAGTCTTAGGAGTGCACTCTTTGGAAACCAGTTCTGACAGTGCGGTGTACAAGCTAGTAGGCAGTTCTGTTCTGTGCACAATTGCCATTTGCTAATATATCTTGTTTTGTACATCATGAAAGAGACATAAACATAATAAATTCTGCTAGGCCTACAGTGCCCTGCTTTCCACAGTATTTTCAATTGATCTTTGTAACACTTGGAATATGTTAGCTATTTCGCATCCAGTAGATTTTGTTTTACATGTGACGCTACTAGGCTTTTTGTGAAGCTAGTATAAGCCGAGGGGGGCACTTTTCAGCACAAAAAATGGGCTGAAAAACTCGGCTTATACTCGAGTATATACGGTTCTTTTTTACTATTCGCTATTTTGAATAGTAAACCGCAAAAATGAATTTGATTATTTACAAAATGCTTGTGGTTTACTTTTATTTAGTTCAGTATTTTTCAAGCAAGAATTGCTGCATGTGAAATCTAATGTTTGTAAAATAGGTGGACAAAGATGCGGATTTCTTTTTAGTAAATGTTTTAGAATGCATTCATATCACTTACATTCTTAAGGGTGATGTATCATAATGAAGACAAACAAATTGATCCACAGGGTTTGTTTGTAGTAGATCAAGCTTAATTTGCAGTCAGCTGAATTTCAAGCATTCTACAAACTCCGTTTTCTGGCTTTAAGGCCTCATTCACAGTGCCGCGTGTATTGTACCATATGCAGCATATGCAAATAAATGGCTCAATACACATAGCTGCGTATGGAGCCGTATATTTGCGTAGCGTAAAAATGCGCAAAAACATAATGGAACAGAAATGCGTCCGGGCAGCGTATTTTACGTGCATATATGCGCGCGTATACGCACGTATGCAAGTACAGTGCATTCAGATTTCTATTACGAATGATGCATTCTGGGATGGCATATAGTGCACGCACATACGTGCGTATATGCGTATACATACGTGTATATACGCAATATGCAATTTTTTGCTCTGCGTTGTGTGTGAATGAGGCCTAAAGAAACTACTTCCGGTAACAAAACAAAAAAAATGAACGCATCTGAAATTGCTACACAAACCATTTTGTAATTTATTGTTAAAAAAATACCTATTTCTACTCTGTTGAGGGACACCGCCTACAGGAGGATTGGACATTGGCAAACAATAAAAATCATAGCCCAGCATGGCCTCTCCTACTACTAGCATGCGGCAGTTATTTACTACATCGCTGTTGCAGCTGTTCTCTATATTGGCAGCTGTCATGATCGGCATTTCCTTAGCCTAGATTTGGTATGCCGTATCTAAACCCCCCTCAACTGGACTTGCTTGGTTTCCGTGTTAGGTGCTTCCCAGACTCAGTTCTGTTAACAAGTTAGATGTGGAGGGCTTTTCAGTTGCGGGGCCATTGGCATTGTCTATGCACTTTCCCTGTCTCTAAAGTCCCACTTTGTTAGTAGGAAAATGGGGCTGGGAGTACTGGAAGCTACAACATTTTTGTAATCGCTCTTTAGGGGACACAGGCGATTCAGAGGCAATTGCATCACACTGCCACCGTCATGAAAATTAGATACTGGCATAAAAAAAAAAAAATCTTTTAGCCAGCATAACTCCTCAGGCTTTCATCATGTCCCAGTTTTTTGCTAGTGTACTTGGAGAATGCCGTTTTCTCACTTTTTTATTAGGGATGTCTCGATACCACTTTTTCAGGACCAAGTACGAGTACTTCCCCGCATGTACTTGTCGATACCAATTACCGATACTTTTTTTTAAAGGGATAGGTGACTTTAAATGAATTGGTCTCTGTATCGTTCCCAATACCGATACTAGTACTGGTATCGGGACATCCCTACTTTTTATCAAGAGATTTTTTTCTGCAATCAAGATTGTTTATTACTGCAGAGTTTAGAGTGCTCGCCCATGCACTTTTTTTTTTTTAAACTGATCCTCGGCCCAGCTTGTGAAGCTGTACCCGGATGCCATGAAGAAGATGCAGGGTCCGTTTGTGACCCTCTGGGCAATGGGTTCTACTTAAGGCTTTCCAGGTCACCTAGTGCACTGTGTATGTTAGCTGCAGAGCGTTTTACAAGTCCAGGGATGTGCTACCCACCATGAAAACCTGTCTCTGGAGATCCCTTATGGGCTATGCCCACTGGAAGGGCAAAGTTTGTCTTTAAGGGGCTTGTCCACTGTCACCTTAATTTCTGCACTGGTGACCACAGAGCACCTTGATGATCTCTGCTGTGGCAAGTCAGGGATTTGCCTTTCAGAGTTTACATCAGTTTTTTTTGACCGGTGTTTTGATGGATGTTGGCAGGAGCAGGCGCTGACACTAAATTTGAATTGTGTTGTACATGCCCTTCTACTGTGCCTTCATGGCATCCGCCATTGTTGCAGGTCCTGTGCATGCTGCCTTCCTAATGAGCACTCACTCACCTACCTCTCCCACCTTCTGCTGTATACTGCACCACCGCCATTTTCAGCTGAGGAAGATGAGGAATGTATCCTGTCCTTTAGATATGGGTTTGTTCCTGAGGAGCCTTAGTCGGCAAACATTACCTTTGCGGTCCTTATAGTTGCAGTGTGCTCATGTCTGAAGCTGGAGCAATCTGTGTCAGAATTCTCTAGGGTTACCTGCATAGTTCTCAATAGATAAAAGACCAAAAGCCCTTTCTAAAGCCTTATTCTCAAAAGCAGGTCATACCCTGCGCCTGGTCATTGCCATAATGTCCATCTAGAGACAATGGATGGAATGATCCATGGATATGACTAGGAATCCAGGATTCAGCCTTACTGAGCCTTCTGTTCTCCAACAATTGGAGCTTTTACCAGTAGCCCTGCACTAAGGTGTTGATCGGCTTGTGGATAACATGCATCTGCATAGGCGGAGGACCCTTTGTATCAAAACCTGGTCTGCATAGCACCACTGTAAGAAATGCCTGCTGCATATGCCCTTTGGTGAGCTCCTTTGGGCGCCTCTCTAGACCAATTTTATCAAGGATGTCATAGGAAGTAAAAGTACCCTTTTGCCCCAGCAAAAGAAGGCTAAACCTCATAGACAATTATTCTACTTCTGAAACTAAGAGTTTCTTTAGTTTCTCACAGTCCTCTAGAGTCTAGACCCAATGCCAAACCCTGGGACTCTGTTTCACCTCAAGACTTAGACTCCCAAAGCCTCTAAGCCTGCAACCAGGTCCTCCTCGCAGTATGGGGTTGTCCCCACTTCTCAAAGTGGTGGGACATTTTTTGACGCATCTCAGAATCTTGAATGGTAAACATAGTGTCCAGAGGTTACAAGCTTGAATTTCAAGCTCTACCTCCACCTTGCTTCATGTTGTCCAACCTGCCAACATCCCTGCAGAGACTAACGGACCCCCATTCTGCTCTGGCACAACTCCTCTCTGAGGTAATCTTAGCCAAGGTCCTGGAACAAGAAAGGTTTCAGCATTCCTACTTCCACCTGTTCACTGTACCCAAAACAAAAAAGGGCATTTACCTCATCTTTGTGATCTGAAGGGCCTTAATGCCTACATTTAAATGCAAAATTCCACATGGAATCTGTTAAATCAATAATTGACTCCATCCAGAGGACCTTCTGGCCTCTGTGGATGCTACCAGGGTTTTCCTGTTGGCTTTCAACACTATCATTGGCCTCCACTTTGACCTGACCATGGCAACTTGACTTTTCACCAAATTGCTAGCCCCTGTGCTCGCTCTGCCTTGTTCACAGGACATCCCCATAGTGGGATAGCATGGCAACCTTTTCCCGAGGGAACTATGATATCGGACCTTGTCTGCCAATGACCATATTACTCTGCAGACTCTATAAGGTTCGTTTGCGTCTTGACCCTTCAGAAATCTGTGTTGGAACTGACTTATTGCTTAAAGTATCTCAGTCTTCTAAATACTGCTCAGTCCAGGGTGTTTTCCCCCTGAACAAACTCTGACCCTCAATCTCGGGCCCGGACTCTGCAGTCCAGGAGCTGTCTGACCCCTTGCTTTTGCCTGAAGTTTCTTGGCTGATAGTTGCCTCCTATAAAGCAGTTTGGTATGCCCAATTCCACTCCAGACCATTGCAACTCAACATGCTGGCAGTATGGGAAAAACAGGCATGCTATTTAAATAATCATGTGTGCTTGTCTCCAAAGACCAGGCTATCCCTTGCCTGGTGGCTCAAGAATCTGTCCCTCAAATCGTGGAAGTCCTTTCTCCCCTCAGCCTGCAAGATCCTTACGACAGACGCCAGGCTGACAGGAGTCTTGTAGGCACCCTGTGATGCAGATCTGGTCACCGGAGGAAGCTCACCTCCCTTTCAACATTCTGAAACGCAGCCAGAGCATATGTCAGTAAACAGAGAGGAGCCAGAAGTCTCGCAGCTCAAAGAGAGGCTGATTGGATTCAGGCTTGGGTGGAACATCGCGTTCTGGCCTTGCTGCTGTGTACACTCCAGGTGTAGAAAATTGGCAGATGGACTTTCCCAGTTATCAATGTATATACTCTTCACCTGAAGGTGTTTTAAGACCTCTGTCACAGATTAGGAATGCCGGACATGAACCTCCTGGCTTCCAGATTCAACAACAAACTGAGCAGGTTTGTCTCCAGATTCACATATCCTCTAGCAGTGGATGACCTGGTATGATCAGTTCAACCTGATCTATGCCTTTCCTACCCTTGAAGCTTCATTTTCATGTGTTTAACAGAATTGAAACAAGGCATTCCAGTAATACTCAGCATACCAGAATGGCCCAGACAGATGTGGTACTCGGACCTCATGAGACTTCTAGCGGACTCTCTATGGGCTCTCTGAGACTGCCACAACCTGTTTGAGTTTACCTGTCCATCTATTGCCTCTTTCTGAAAGATTGACTCCCTTTTTGTCATTTCACAGGGTTCACACAAAGGGACAGCCTTCCTCTCATTCCACTGATGTTTGGTGGATTAGCCAGTTTATCATTCAAGCCTGTAGGGATAAGGTTAGGGTTCCACATTTTGTTGCCAAGGTGCACTTTACTAGGTCAGTGACTGCCTCTTGGTCCTTGCAGCATCAGGCATCCCACATTTGCAAAGTTTTATCAGGTGGATTGTCTGATGTCAGCTTTGGATGCAAGGTCCTTCAGGCAACTCTTTAAACTCCAGTGTAAAGGTGCCCATACACCTTA